ACGATTTTGCTACGTCATCGGATTCGAAAATATCTGGATTCACCGTCCACACGTTATCGGATTCGTTGCGGATTTATTTTTTTTGCACTCTGGAGAGCGGATTCAAAAATATCCAGATTCGCTGCCGAATTCGCCGGATGCGTGTGGACGGAAGCCGTATCCGGAAAGAAAAAGTTGTGGATTCAAAAATATTCGGATACGTGTGGACTGGGCTTAACTAAACATTTAAAGGTTTATTGGTTTTCAGTAACGAAGTAAATCAAGCACATAGACCTTGGGTTATCTTTACTGACCTACTACTACTTATGGATGTCAAATATAAAATGCATCCATTTTAGTACTTAGCTCAGTTAGCTATACAAGCACCAAGCTTAGCTAGTTTACAGGCATGCCACTGAAACAAAGGAAACAAGCATTTAAAATAAAAGTAACATAGTTAAAAATCCCAACTAGCAGGAGGCAGACCAGTTGCCGGACTATTTACAAAGCGTGACCGAGGATTTGAACTCGGGACTGCCGAGAAATAAAAACAAGCCAGTGGAGAGGTGGAGACCTCAGTTAAACCCGGAACCTCCGGAGTACAACACCAGCGCCCTGAACCACTCGTCCACGCTGCCTCCGTGCTATATATAAGAAGCCGACGAGGGATCACAATTTTAGTTATCAAGGAAACTCAACAGTTTGAAATGTAAGTTCCTTCTCTTGTTATGTGCTCAGGGGACTGGTTGTTGATTGAAATATTCTTCAGTTATATTCCAAACTGGCGTAATCAATGATAATGTCCTTAGCCAATTTCAGGAACGCTGTTGTATTCTCGACCAATCAAGAGCCTGATTTTAAGACGGCCCTTTTCGTCGGTACTTGGAGCTCTACTTCTATTGTATTTCGGATTAATTAATCGCAGAACTATGAACCATAATATAAAAATACTTGAGCGAGAACTTACTAAAATGGATGCATTTTATATTTGACATAGTAGTAGGTTAGTAAAGATAACCCAAGGGCTATGTGTTTGATTCACTTCATTACTGAAACCAATAAACATTTGAATGTTTAGTTAGCGTGGAGGTAACCCCCCCCCCCGGGGGGGGCTACTCTCTTATATGGGTATGTGCGGTCTTAAAGGGTATGGTTTTTCCGCCGTTTTGGTCATAAATAGGGTATCGATTTTGGCCATTTTGGTCTTAAATTAGGTCTAGTTTTTGTTGTCTAGTCTTGAATTGGGTATGTTGTCACGAGAAGAGGCTACTTTTTCACCATTGCCGATAGTAAAGACCATTAACAAAGCCCTTCAAAATTTATGTTTAGGGCAACTCAACGGTCATAAATAGGGTATCGAATTTTTGGTCAGGTCATAAATAGGGAAGGAGGAAAATCGCCGATTTTGGTCATAAACAGGGTAATCGGGCCGCACACCACCACCTGAAGATTAAGGCGCACAAATTTTTCGTATAACACGTTTCTAGAGCTCGCCCTAGTTCTTCAGAGGAAAGTAAAGGGATTTTCGGGGAACTGGAACCAACGCTTCCCCATCCATCAAAAAAATATACCAGACACCAGTCTTTTTGCAATGTTGAGAAGACGCCTGGAATATTTTTTCAAATTGAAGATGTCTCAGGTTGGTTGCAATACGTCTTCTTCAGTACATTTTACACGTGCTTACCCTTCCATTCTTGTATATATCCTGTTCGCAGGATAGCGAGCTGTCGTATGCCCACCGTGATGGCCGATTGTTGGAGCTGATTGACGAGGCTTGGCAGAGAGATGAACTTCCAAATGACGGTATGGAAAGCACCTATTTGAAGGATTACACTTTACAGCAGTTTGTCTGTGATTGCTCGCTGCGTTACGTACAGTTTACAAATCCCAGTTGAAACGGGAAGTTGTTTTCTGAAACTTGTCATGTTATTTCTACAGAAATTTCAGTGCCAGAATTTGAACTCCCACCCGTTGACGATAGTGACCGTAAGTATAAACTATTTTGAAAATCGGTACACGTTTTTTAATCTAAGACTTTGTTTGTGAGACACTACTAATGGACACTAAATAAGAGTAACATTTTATCTAAGAAAGAAGTTTATAAATCAAATTTCCATTAATTAGTCAAGCAGTTTAAAGTATTTTTGAGGTTGAATAGTGATAACATTAATATGAATCTAGCCATGACAACCACCCGTTAGAGTAAAATATTAATAACTGTAGTGTTGCCTTTTACCTGGTATATAACCAGTGGAATTAGGATGTAGATCCCATCAGTATCATTCTAGCATTAGAGCAATAGCTATCTATTATTGACGCTTTTTCAAGTTACTAGCATTGGCTTTCCCACCCACCCACTTCCATTGCAGTTCTAATTTTTTTGTTGTGTTTATAATTTCGTGGTAATTTATGTATTTATAATAATTATTATTAATTATAATTATCATTATTATCTTGTGCAGGCCCTCGATGGTCCTCTGGTTTTATCATAGTTTATTTCCAAGATTGTAATTAGCATGAATCATTTTCTGTGTGTTGCATGTATGTGTAGCATTAAAATAAACTGCCTGATCCCAAACACATAGTTTGAGAGTGAGTTTCTGTGTTCAGATCAACTATAACTATATTATAAATGATATTACAAAATCTTGGAGAATCAATCAGTGTCTTGTGCATGTGTTTTGGTAGTTAATTTTGTTTCACAGGTGCTTGTTTGACATTTGGGGTGTTTCATGCAAAGAGTTAAACCAGGGGCGGATCTAGAGGCAGGGTGCAGGGGGTGCGAAGTCTTCTTCTTCGTATTCACCTTTAAAATTTGTGTACCTCACCAGTCATTTATGCCATTCCTTAGTGGTGCACCCCTTCCTAAGAAAAATCCTGGATCCACCTCAGGTAGCTATCACTATCTAAAGATCAACTGCATGCAAAAAGTGTTAAGTATGAGACTGGAACCAAGACGNTAGTGGTGCACCCCTTCCTAAGAAAAATCCTGGATCCACCTCAGGTAGCTATCACTATCTAAAGATCAACTGCATGCAAAAAGTGTTAAGTATGAGACTGGAACCAAGACGAAATAGTCAAATGGTGATTGATCTACTTTGTTGAGGGGGGCATGGGGCTTTGCAGTGTTGCAGTGTTGATTGCTTTTCTAATGCTGTGATGCGATGAATGAAATCCCACCTTGCGGTGTTACAGTGATTCTAAACCCTATGGTGTGCGATATTTGTGTTTATCACCCCTACAGTGTTCTTTGAAATGAAATTTTTTGTGGTGCTTTGTGTACCTTGTTTGACCATTCTCAGACCTAACAAGGTAGTATGTAAACTTTTTAATCCATACTAATTTACAGTTGTATAGCAAGCACACACCATTGTGTTTTACAAACCAATGAATACAGACCAACACTGTCTATTTTGATAAGGTCTTGTGTCCAAGCAATGTAGGGCGTCCGGTTTAAACTTTAGATACCTAAACCTGTAGAGCTGGCTATCAAACTATACCAATAATTTTAAAATAAAATGAATTGTTGAATTTTTTACGACCTCTAAATGCGAGTGTCTGAATCACCTTTTGAAAGCTACATATAGGAGTATAGGTATCTACAGTTCAAACCGGACGTGCTACATCACTAAGAGATGAGACACCTCTAAAGATGCTCTAAAGGTATACTGTAACCTTAATATTCAATATGCTTCAGCTGCCAATCTAAATCAGTATCGACACGTAGGCAATGACAAGCGTTGTGATATATTTAGTTTGTGGAAAATTGTTGAAGTATAAAAGTATTATGTCAAGTTTAGGTATTCAAATCATAGGCCTAAATAATATGTTGTGGTGATATTTTTTCGTCAACTTTACTTGTAGTGATTGCCGCATTCGCTATTTGTTTGTGCATTGTTGCATTGTTCAGAGTTCCCCCCCCCCCCAACCCCAATATCCCCCTCTTGTTGGTCTGTACCAACTCCAAAGCAAGGGCAACCTTAAATTGCAGTCCACAATTTTCAAAGGGATTTTCTAGACAAGAAAGACCTTTTGATGAGAGTGCAAGTACTAGATTTGCAAGCTTGAATACGAGAATGACTTTTTTAAACCTGTACTTTCCTTCAATCATCCAGTTTCACACCAACCTGACACTCATCTGATAATCTCCTATTCAACTAATCGGCAACAGATAGGTGTAAGGGTCCCTACTTGATCAGTTACTTGTACTGTAAATTTTCTGCTCTTCCACTGGCTTTCCAGCCAAAATTTCAGATTAAAATTTGGTCGGTAGGAAAGCACCAATCTCTTCTCTGAGAATTTATCAGGCCTACATTTTTTGTTTGCAATGTTGCTAGTCAATGCGGCATTGCAGTGTGGTGGCTTTGCAAGTTTGTGGAGAAAGTTTTGGGTGATAGTGCTGTTCTGGTGGAAATATAAGAAAGGGAAGCTCTTCAGCTGCTTCAACCAAGATGTGTCGCAAAATGTAAAATGATTGATCTTGGCATGGTACAGTATTGGAGACTCGTGGTTGGTTGGTTGGGACGAAGTTAACCAAGCAGCAAAATGGGGCTGCTGCTCCAGATCATATTCATATTCACCCTTTGGAAGGTCATCGGGAATTCCCAATGGGGTGGAGGCAAGCAAGCAGAAAAACATCTGTGAGGGGAAGTGACGTGTTCTGGAACAGGACAATAGACATAAGAACTCTGCCCTGGGGGGTACTCCCATATAAAAAGAACAGGGGTGCTTGTCATACCTTTTAGCTACCTCTTAAAGGGTGTTCAGCCTCAAAAGTTCCACACTGGGAACTTTTGTGGTACCGTTTAGGGTACTGTGGGTATATAGCTCTTTTAACAAAGTCTAAAAACTGAGGTTGGATTTAAGTTGTTAGCTCAAGCCTTTGTTCAAAAATGTATCTTTTACCTAACAAAATATAATAGTTAAAAAGACAGGTAGTAGCCGTGTAATATACATAGCTCATCTACAGTGTAGGAGACAAGGAGTTACCACTTTGAAGATTCCACCAGCTAATAGCTTTGACCCAGAAATCTTGAACATTATTACACCCAACTAGCTAATTTGTGAGGAGTTTCTAATAAATTACAATAATTACATGACGAAGAGAGAAGGATGCTGATGGTGTTTCCTAAACTTTGTAGATCTACCACAAGCAGCATAAGTAATAGGATTATTTTAATCTCACAGACAATGGTGCAACAGATTCACTGAAAGAACAAGAGCAAAAGTGGACAGATCTTGGAATACAGCAGCTACAGGAATCCCCACAACACTCTGGAAACTAGATTGGAAAATCAACACTCAGGGAACTAGATTGTAAAATGACTTGTACACATGTAAACTGCTGACTTGTACACATGCAAACCATATTTCAAGAATGGTGTGCGCAAGTCCTTAATCTTTCCAAGTTGTTTAGTTTTCCATGTTGTCCAAAGTTTTTAGTTAAATTTGTGATTGCTCAGCCCCCAGGAGGGGGTACTCTAGAAAGTTCTATATGAGGAGGCTCCCCTTCGAGGTCCAACCCTTTATATATGTATGTATGTTTACGTAATTGGCCACTCCCCATCAGGGCTTTTCAGGACCAATGTAAACAAACAATGATAAATAAATATTCAAATAAACATAACTAGGTTAAGAATCCCAATTGGCGGGAGGCAGACCAGTTGGCTATTTTACAAGCGTAGTCCAGAAGTTGAACTTGGGGCTACCGAGAACAACATCAGCTAGCGGTCAGAATGGGATTTGAACCCGGGACCTACGGATTTCAAATCCAGTGCTCTAACCACTCGGCCACGCTGCCTCCATCTATTCAATGCCTCCTGTGAATGGACAGACAAGTAGACAGAAACATGCAAACAGATCAACACAGATAAAAGACGGAGAGACAACCCAGCCTACTGACAGACAGACTGCTTGGCCAGCTGAAAGACAGACAGACAGACAAACAGATGGATGGATGGATAGACAAATGGACAGGCACACAGAATGACGGAGAGACAGACAGACAGACAGACAAGCAGACAGACAAGTAGACAGAAACATATAAACAGATAAACACAGATGAAAGACAGAGAGACAACCCAGCCTACTGACAGACAGACTGCTTGGCCAGCTGAAAGACCGACAGACAGATAGATGGATAGACAAATGGACAGGCACACAGAATGATGCACAGACAGACAGACAAGTAGAGAGAAACATACAAAAAGATAAACACAGATAAAAGAAAGACAGACAACCCAGTCTACTGACAGACAGGCTGCTCAGCCAGGTAAAAGACAGACTGACACATGAACAGACAAATGGACAGACAGATGGATGAATAGACAAATGGACAGAGAGACAGAGGGACAGACAGACAAACAGGCAAGGAAGCTCCTCAGCCGACTAACCTGTAACTGCTAAATAATTTTTTTTATTTCTTTATTTCCATGTTAGGCTTGTACTTTTAATTTGTCACCTCTCACCTGGGACACAGGTTGTCTGCCCGAGGTCTGAAGAATTCTAGGAATGTGCTGCATCTTTCCTTGTGTCTTGACATTGACTTGTCTTTGTTGCTGAAGTACAGGTTGTTGTGTTCTGGTTTGTAAGACAACTTGTTTTACTCCAGAGCCTTGCAGCTGTTGCTGTAATTGTAACTGTTTTAACTGATCTGCTGTCAGACTTTTGGGCTGCACATTACTTGCCGTTTGAAGATTGCTACCGCTAATTTTCTGTTTAACGACTTGCTGTTGCAACTGAAACTGTTTGAGAGCCTGAAGCTGTTGTGGAGTAATTTGAATAGTTTGTTGTGTTTTGGTCCCTTGTAACCCCAGTTTTTGTAAAAGCTCAGGTTGTTTTATGATAAAGACTTTCTGAACTCCTGAATTCTGTGCCTGCTGTGCTTGAGGCAGAGTGTTTTGTTGTGTTGTGGTCACAATTTGAACAACGGGTGATGTGGTTGACTTTCCTTGCTGTGTAACAGAGTTAACTTGCTGAACAATACCTCCTTGATTTAATACCTGCGCAGTCGAGGTTTTGTTGGGTTGATTTTGTACAAAGGTTACTCCTTGAAGTAGCCTGGCACCTTGGTCCTTTGTGATTTGTTGCTGCGGTGTCAGATTTACCTGCTGTTGACCAAGAATTTGGTGCACTTGTTTCTGCTGGTTATTTAAAACCTGCTGCAATTGAATACTAACAGGAGAGGCCACAGTATCTGTCCTTTGACTGACATTAGAATGCTTAGCTGGAGCACTTACATTAACCTGCAAAGTCTGTGTAGTTGGCTGTCCTTGGCCAACAGATTGTGGTTGAATATTCTGTACTATGATCTGCTTCTGAACAGGTTGAGACTGCTGCTGTATTTGCTGAAACAACTGCTGCGGTTGCACAATATTCTGTGCAGGTTTTTGCTGCGTCACTTGCTGAAGCAGTTGTTTGATCACCTCTTCTTGGACAACAATGTTCTGTGGTTGAGTTGGCTGCACAGTTTGTGTCATGAGCTGTGGCTTTTGTTTCAAAGCAGCTTGAAGTTGTGCCGGACTCAGCACCTTCTGTTGTACAGTTTGTACAACTGATGGCTGTTGCTGCTGATTGGACAGTTTTTGCTGAACTAATTGCTGAATCTGCTTAATTTGATTTGCTGGCAATGCCTGAGATTGAACGACCTGGGGCGATGTCTGCTGAGAGACCTGAACTGCTGGATTTTGGCTTCTTATCAAATTTAAAAGTTGTTGTGCTTGGATAAGTTGTGTTGCATGGTTTTGCTGTTGGACATTCCCTTGAGAAACTTGGTTTACAACAGTTTGCACCTGTGGAGTAACTTGATTCGACACTTGTTGCAGAAGTATCTTATGCTGGGTACCAACTACTTGAGGAGGTGATGACATGGTATTAGTCTGAGGTAACATACTTGGCTGTTTAGGAGCAATTCGTTTAACAGGAGTCGTTGAAAGAATTGGCTGTAAATTGCCTGGAGACGACTTAATAGTATGTGCACTTCCAGCTGCAACATTAGTTCTCACATTTGCTTTAGAATCAATTCCATTTAACGCAGCACGATGCCCTGGTGAAACATTCTGCTGTCCACCAGCAGACTGTTTTTGTGCAACATGCGTAACAAGAGGCAGTCCTGAATTTATCACCTGCATTCCACGATTTCCCGGAGATCCAACTGTTGAGTTGCTCACGGCAGAGGAAACATTGGGTGTTTTAGGCTGGATAGGTATGGGTTTTTTGCCTTGAAATGTTGATACAGATGTTACAGAGGGTTTGGGTATTGCAACAATCCCTGGTGAAGCAGAAATTGCTAATCCAGTGCTTCCAACTTTGTTGACTGCATTGCTAGTGGCTTCCAAGCCAGGAGCCTTAAGAAAACTAACTCCAGTTGACACTGGAACTGCAGAGGGAACAATGCCAACATTGAAGGGTGCATTTGTACTTCCACTAGTTCTTGCAATACCATTATTGTTAACTACTGCATTCACAAATGTGCTCTGAGGAGCAGCAGATGAATTGATGCCAGTTAATGATGTTTCAGATCCAAGAGAGGGAACCCTTATGTTTGATGGCAATGCACTAGCAACAGCAGCTCCTCTAGTTGTACTTGTATTTAATGTTGGGGTCGCTAAGCGATTCAGGTTCACGTAAGATGATCTAGAAACAGCATCTTGAGGAGGATTCTTTGAAGGCAGGCTGCTGTCCTATTAACAAAATAAAACCACAAGTGAGACAATCTCAGACAGTACAGAGTGCAATGCACTGACACGTAGTAGTCGCACAGGTCCTAATCCCTGCCTTTCACTCCCAGTCTGTACTGACTATGGTAGTCAGTTACAGCTTTTACCCTTGCAGAATGTGAATGGCCAGGAACCTTGAGGAGACATAAATATCTTAGCAGTGTGTATGTTTTACATGTATATTTTCACTGAAGGTCCAAAAATAACTTACAGTTATCATTTCTCGACAAAGTTTTGAATTTTACACTCATTTGGCATTTTACATTAATTTGGTCCTTATTCATTTTGAGTTCAGTAACATGTTGAAGTAGCAAATGCAACAACACAGAAGACCTCTTTTTCACTGCTGGAAATAAATGGAAGACGGTTAACTCTGCTGAAAAAAATGGAAGGGGAACAATTTTGTTTCATTTAAAATGCAAATTTCCATTTCAACAATAAACAAGAACTAATTTAATTATCAAATAGTCACAACATAGCATGTTCTTACTCTGTTGCCACCTTTCGGTGTCAACAATAACACCACTTAAAATTAATATACAATTATATGATTAATACAACTGAGACGCATTTTAATGAGAAGTACTGAAGGTTAACACTGCTACTTAACTTAGATTATATCCTACATCGATGAACTAGTCTCTTTAAAGACTGATTAAATAAATTTATGCTTTCAGTACATGCATAGGAGTCTGCAGCAATATTTGAGAATTTTCTTTGGTCACAAATTTACAATTCAATAACAACTCTTAATGTTCCCAACTAAGGAAGGTTTTGTCCGAATATGAACTTTTTGGTCTTTTTAGGCGATTAAAGGAATGACATTTCTTGAACTGAACTTGGAGTCTCAAAAGATACACAGTCACAGAAGCAATCTTTGCACTACAAAAAAGAAGTGAAGTCACCCAAAATATGACTGTTGTCCCCTGTCAAAATGAGAGTGTGATATCCCACAACATATAAAAACCCGCATTGCTCTAAGAAGGAAAACAAAGTGTATAATGCTAGCAATACTAGAATACATGCATCTTACAAGATGCATTCTACCACAAGGAAAAGCACCCAACAAATTAACCTTGGTAGATCACTATATACAAACAGGCATCCAAACGCAGGAGATTCAGTGATTTGTGCCAAATTTGTACTGCATATCTAATTTCCATCCCTACATAATCAGCCTAACTTGATTTTTGGTGTTACAACCAAAACTACATGCCAGTAACTAATTTTTGAGGTCAGAATATTTAAAAGTAAATGGCAAAATATGTTTAAGACATGCTTTATCAGAGAGCTACAAAATATCAAAAAAGAATTCCTTTCCATAGCATTGGATGTTATTTCTTTTCTTCCATACTTGGATGTTTCTCCTCTAGGGCGGCACAACAAACATATGACCAGCTTTATTTTGTACAATACAGGATTTTCTGCACATAACTTTACTATGTCATGGTATGATCTTCTTCAGTGCTCTCCCATGTGGTTGAAATTTGGAAAATTGGAAGTACCCCTTCTCTCGAACGGGACCTGCAGTGGCCTAATGGTAAGCATACTGGACTCAGGATTAAGCAGTCCATGTTCAAGCTGGCTGAGGTAACAGTGTTTCATTCTTCAGCATTACACTTTACTCTCACAGAGTCTCTTTCTGCCCAGGTGTATAATCGGATGCTGGTGAATGTAATGCCAGAGATAACCCTACAACGGTCTCACTTCACCTTAAGTAGCGGAAGAGTAGAAATACTCCTCATGCAGTCACTTCATGCAGTGCAAACAAGAGCTAAGNCCAATCAACAAATGGCAAAGTTTCCTGAGAAGTTTGGAACACTTCACACTTTGTTGGGTTTCAATTTTGTGAAGACCTACTTTTTGTACTCTTCAATGTTATTGGTTTGTTCAGGAAAAAGATCGCTATCCTTTTGTTCTTAAGAAACGCTCTGGTTGGTTAACACTTTTCCAAGTGGCCAGGTGTGAATAGTTGCACTGTAAAACAGACTTGCCAAAAGAGGGACTTGTTCTCTACAGGCTGGTTTTCACTTGCGACGGAGTCATAGTCGAAGTCGTAAGAGCCCTTATAACCTAGTGAAAATCGAAAATCAGAGTCGTAAGCAGAGTCATAAGCTCAACGGAATCGGAGTCGGAAGAATCAGAACGTTTCCATTTCTTCTGATTCCGTTTACTACTCTGTCATTGTGATTCAGTGAAAACTACATTACCGGAGTCGGAAGCAGAAACTGAAGAACCAACCAATCACAAGGCCCGGAAATGAACATTGTGATTGGTTTATTCTTCAGCTTCTGCTTACAACTTCAACAATCTAGTTTTCACTGGATCGTAAGCGATGGAGTGACGTAAGCGGATGCAGTGTTCTGCTTCCAACTCCATCAGTTTTATTTTCACTAGATCGTATCACTCCGCGCTTCTGATTACAACACAGACTATGACTCCTTAACTAGTGAAAACCAGCCTTACATCCTAACCAGAGGCATGGAGAAGAGTAGTTGCAATATTTCAAAACAATTGTACACTGAAAAACATCTTGACAGTGAATCCAGTAAATAAATAATTCTGATTACACCACACCAAAATGCACAATTTTCAGTGTTCCTGCAGGGCTTTCCATCTCTCCTGGAGTATCAAGTCCCAGCTGTGGAGAAAATGACTTGATGTAAACACACATTCTCCTAACCTATTACACAGACATTGTATAGTGACAGATGGGAGAATTTTAGTTGGCATACAGGTACAGTACATAAAGGGACTCAACTTGGTCTGCATGTTATGTTACACTGATATAATATTCTTTACTGTGGTAATCAAAACAAGGATACCTCATTGACTTCTTGTCCAGAATAGTGGTGGTGACCTAAATGACAACACAAAATACATGAAAAAGAAATAGAGACCACTTGGAAAAATTAATGAAAGATGAGGAAATTACTATGGAATTAAAAAGAAGCATATTACTAGGGGACCTCTACACACAGGGATAAACTAATATACTGTAGACAGTAGTAATGAGGAGTGACAAAAATAATTTGCAGGAAAAAAGGAAATGTTAACTGGGAAACAAAAGCAAGAGTGCCTGGCATGTGGAGGTCTACTTGAAAATAAATAAATAAATTCAACGTGCTGCCAAAAAAAAAAAAAAAAAAAAAAAGAAAGCAAACAATTCTGAAAAATTGGGATCAAGTGTTTAGATTTTGGGGAAGAACCCAAATTTATTTTATTTGGGAAGAACCCAAGTTTTTGAATTGGTACCTCTTGGGGATTGAAAAAAATTTCCAGCCATGCCCAAAAACAGGATCTTGGTACAGGGGTTGATTTCAAAATTTCTCATGAGCACCCCATCCTTTTTACATGGGAGTCTCCCCACCCAAGGGAAGAACATCGTGGCTACACTCCAACAGATTTTCCTTTATGAGGTATAGCACCCCTCCCCCACCCCTTGGAACCTCTGATGACCTTCCTCAGAATGGACATCGACATTTCCTGGAGCAGCACAGTATTGTGCATCATTTTCACAAAGTTGTAGCTCACCTCTTTGTGCACCTTGTAACATTAGAATGGCTCCATCATTGTCTTCTTCCTCCGACGGCATGAGGTGTTGAGGTGAAAGTGTCTGATTATGCATGAAATCATACTCATCACCCTGAAAGTAAATGCCATTTCTGCTTCTTTCTCCATTGGCCATGTCATCTTCGATATAAGACAAATCATCCTCCTCATCTTCATACGATTCACCAGTATCTTAAAGTCATAATGAGCATTCATTAATTAAGGTTAAGTCTGCATACAAACCAAATGGCTCAATCAGGCCAGGGTTTATCCCGGTTTCTGGAGCATTAAGTGACTAGGAGTATTTCTACCCACCCCCCCCCACCCCCCCTAGATAGGATGCCAGTCCACCATAACATCAAATTTGCTGGTACCATTTTTACGCCTGGGTGAAGAGAGGCACTGTGAGAGTATAGTGTCTTGCCCAAGAACACAACATAATGTTTCCAGCTGGAACCACTTGATCCAGAGTCAAGTGCATTAACCATGAGGGCACCATGTCTCCTGACGTTCATTGAATTAGTCCCATTTAATAGAAATTCAGTAGTTACATGTCCACTTCTGAAAATGTTGTCACCTGCCTCATAATTTTGTATTGTGCAGTTCCAGAAAAAACTGTGGAAATTCACAAAAATTCCAAGGGGAAGGGAAAGGGGGGTTTCGAAAGCAGAAATGTTTAAAGGAAAGTATGAAGCTAAACCGGAATTTCCAGGGGGGTGGAGATGGGGGCTTCAAACTAAAACACCTCTCATGGGAGGGGTATGGATATTTTCTGCAACAACACAATGAGGTCTCATTGGCTCATTACATCACATGTATTTCTTTGCAATTAGCCAGATGTGATTACTGCCTTAAGTTTTGCTGCTATCTTACAAAAGGCAAATTACAGTGTAGTCAGCAAAATACTGTGTAGCCTGCGAATCCTGCTGCATCATTACATTGTGTCAGGCTTGAAGTCTTAATTCTCCTTACTAAGTACCTTACAATTCTTTAAAAGTTGGTTCAGAGAATTTAGTTGTACATCAAACTGTACAAAATTCCCCCCCCACCAATATATTGCCTAGTTGATGATTTTCATTGTTCTTGCCACCTTTCCATCTGGTAATATATTGACATTGGGAAAAACAGCATATTGTGTCATAAATGAAGATTACTTCATGGATAAGGTACACCATAACTGGTCAAAAGATCTCAACCTACCTGATGTTAAAGGCTCATTGTCAATCTGTATTGCCCGTTGTTTTGCTACTTCAGCCAGAGGAGTGTTGCTGAGATCAGATGCCAAATAGTGAATGTCCTAGGAAATGATACAGAACCTATCAGATAAGTCTATTTTCCTGAGTTAAGTACCGGTATCACGTATAGAAATTGAGAGCAAATAATTGCTTCAGTATAAATCTCCTAGTTGTTCAGAACTTCATCTAAATCTTCTTCACAGACAGTTCGAAAATGCAAGAAGCAGCCACCATTCTATTAGCAACCGCACACTCTAGGATACTCATCACCTACAGCAGAATAGATAGTGGGTAACGTAACCACATGATAGAATGGTAGTAGATTTACTGTGAATCCTAGAATTGTTTATACCCGGGGTGCTTATTTCAAATTTAGGAGAAGACAGGAGGTGCTCATCCAAGGAAGGCGCTTATTTAATTTTTCCCAAATAGTGGTAAGATGTGATCGATTTTTGTAATATATGTATGTGTCAGTCCCTCAGAAGTCTCTGAAGGATCTTGTCTCTCTTGAAGAGCTACGTAATGTAACCTCTTTAGCTGGTCTAAGCCTGCTGCACAAGGTTGGTTGGGCATTAGGCAATGATCAATCAGCAGATCTTCACTACCATCCATTGCGATGGTCAATGTGCAGTGCTTGAATGAGTTGCTAAACAGTTGCTTGTTATCAGTTGTGTCAGTACTCTTCCATAAAACAGGGGGAGGGAAGGGGGGTGCCTATTTCAAGGGAGACACTAATTTGAGGATTTATGGTAAACTAAAACTCCATATAAATACTGAGACTGAGCCAACACGACCTATTGATGTTAATACCGTACCAAATTATTAAATCTAAAATTCAAAGAGTTTCAGTCAGTGTTCAACACTTGAATGTTATATTTACTATTATTATAATAAATAAATTAAATAATAAATAAATTAAATGCCACAGACAACAAATTAATTGAACTACATGATTGTACAAGTTAGCTAACCATGAAGAGGTCCTTTGCTCCAATGTCTACTGCTAACAGAAATGCCTTTTCAAATCTCCTGTATCTAATATTACAACAGAGAGAGAACAAACCACATTATATTCAAGCTCTGACTAAAAGGAAAAAAGTTTTAAAAAAACGTTTTAACATTATAATAGCGGGAAGACTTATTATTGTAAGTGAACCAAGATAAACTGGATTGTAAAAGAACTCCAATAAGTCAAACCTATGATCTTCTGCACCTTAATACAATGCTCTTTCATCAAGCGGGAAAAGACAGATGGAAGTCAACATGTGTATTATTGATTTTTATTTTCTAAGTTATCTAGAATTCCGATAGTAAGGGCCCCCATTACATGTACTTTCAGATGTAGCAGGGAAAAGGGGATGCTACCTTCCGACAGCCGTTACTTTCGGGTAGCTGTTACTTTCGGATGATTAAAAAACGATTGCACAGACAGAGCAGATGCATAACCCAAAGTTAAAAATTCTGTTTACATACATGTATGTTACTAACTACCCTCATAAACAAAGCAGACTGTATAAAGACAAAAGGCCGCAAATGTTGGTCGCATTATACATTGATCTAAACGACTGCTTGAAATGTTGTATCAAACATGCTATGATGTTAACTGTAGTCGAGCAGTAATCTTGAAACGGCCATTATTTTCGGGTGGGTCGTTATTTTGGGTGTTACATTTGGGGTTCAATAGAAAGATAAAAAATTAATGTTACTTTTGGGGAGCTGTAATCTTTGGGGGGTCCGTTACTTTTGGAATTCTATGGTATCTCACATATTACCAAAACTGGTCGGTGCAGAATAGGAGATTTTTGTTACATTTGAACCTGGTTATAATTTGGCCAAGCTCAGTTGTAGGATGGTCTAACCAAAGTGCTGCATGAGGGACATACTGTATGCTTAACTCCTCCTGGAAGCCAACTTAGAATTCTTCTTTTTCCCACAGAGTAATTTGTGTCACCAGCTCATTTATCATTTCTTTCTGACAACAACCAATATAAAATGACTTTACATAGGAAATATGTTTTCTGATTTTCAGACTTCCCTTTTTAATTTTGGTGGTCAGAAATGAGTGGTACATGTAAATAAATTTTGTGGTACATGTCCATCAGGACAGTGTCTGATGATTTCAAATTATGACAGTTACATTATCACAGATCCAAATTCTCTGAACTGAATTTCATCAGATATTTGAAAAAAATCAAAGAGAAATTGTTTTGTGATCAGTACCTGAGTAAGTGGTGGAAGAATCTTCTGGAAAGTTTGCTAATCATGTCTCGGAATTGTAGAACTGTGACATCAGACAGCGGTCGACTTGGTGCATAGAAACTACCAAGCGTCTCTTCAAGTAAACCTGTAACACAATAACACATTACACGGTCTGTTGCTGAAATGTCTATAGCACAAGCTGGGATGTCAATAATCATGACAAAACTACTGGTATTCAGGGTATGGAGGTGGTGTACATAAGAAGCTGCAGGGTGGGGGGGGGGAAGGGGTTGAACAAATTTTAATGTGGGATCCACCCCTAGAGCCAAACCCTTACCCTTTTACAGACCGTGTTTGACAGGAAAAAGTAACCCTGTTAATCGATGTCTCCCATAGAAAATTGCACACCTTTCACCGACAGTTTCTATACCTTTGCAGTGAGTGTGTTAACCATGAATATTTTCTGTTTCCCCTTTCAATACCTAAGTTTCCTCTTAAATAACTTTTAATACCTAATTCCCCTTTAAATACCTAAGTGAACGTTTCCGTACCTTTTCTATACTCCAACTCACGAAACACCTGCCATTTGACATACCTCCAGCAATAAAAGATATCCCTTTAAGGTGGAACCTCTCCACCTACTCCATTACAAGGAGTACCCCCTCCCCCTCATAAGACAGGGGATAAGCTCTCTGCTCTAGAAAGGTGTTATACATGGCTACTTCTATGTGGCACAATCAGGATGCAGAACTTTGGTAAGTTACCCAATTGTTAAAAAGATGGATAATCCATGTTTGTTTTGTTAGTATTTATACAGCCACTGTACAGTTGATGGCAATGTCCACTCTTTGAGCAAATGGGACCTGTCATTTATTCTGTCTCAAAGGACCTGATGCTCCATGTTATACATGCTAGAGCAGACCCTGGATGAGGGGAACTCCCAAATAAAAAGGACTTGGGTGCTTGTCGTACCTTCGAGGGGTTAAAAAAGCAGTTTTGCTACCTCTCAGGGTGTTCAGCCTCAACAGGTCCACAGTGTGAGCTTTTGTGGTACCTTATAGGGTACTGAGCTGAACGTGACAGGAGATAATGTGTTGTTTTAGAATTGGTACCTCTTAGGAGTGAAAAACATTTCAAGCCATGCCCATGACGCAGGATCTCGGTACCTCTTAGGGGTTCTTTTCAAAATTTATGACAAGCACTCCTGTCCATTTTTTTTTTTTTGGGAGTCCCCTTCCCCAGGGAGCAGAAGTATATAAGTAAACACAAGTGTGAAGCAAATTTTTCTTTCATAATGTTCACATAATCATTTGAGATTAAGCTTACTCTAATGACGTAATTAAGAAGTTGAAACTTCCTTACCCTCTCTTTCAGAGTTCAACGGTAGTTTCAGAAGATTGTTCATGATAATAGACATACATGCAAAACATGCATTCCCTTCTGTGTTCCAGTTCATACTGTTGAGAAAATTCACCGCCTGTTGAAGCAGAGATACAGTGATGTGTCTGAACATAACATTTGTACTACCATTCCTCAGCAATAGTTTGAAAATGTCTCTAGTAAAGTAACTAACAAAAGTTGAATCACAGTGGAATCCTGATTCTTTGAACCCTCAATTTTTCCGATCTCCTGATAACTCGAACCAAAAGCCATTCCCTCTCCTCAGTCAAATACTGTAATTTTACCCCTGATTTCTCAAACTCTCTGATTTTTCAAACCAATTTTTGTTTCCCTGAGAGGTTCAAAAAATCATGACTCCACTGTATTTGGACCATGGATGTGAAAACTAAATGTTTTAAATCCTGCTGTATGTTCTCAGTTACATATCCTGTATTTGACAATAAGTACATGTATTATAGAGCTCCAAGTCTCTTACAATTATTAGAGAGGGAATTCCCATAGGAAATTACAAGGATCATGCCTCTTGAAAATTTGTATAAAACTGCTAGAAGTTACGAGAATCAATTTTATCAAGGTGTAGTAGAAATCCCAAAATCTTTAAATGATAATTATGTGTGATAAAATGAGCTCCAGGTGACACAATCCAGCCTTTTAAGTGTAACTTGTGGCTAATAGAACATTTTATGAAGCTATATTGAGTCTTCTAAACAAGTTTGTTATCAAAAATGTACCCTAAGAGGTACCACAGAACTTGATGCTGCGACCACTGGGATCGCCAATGCGCTATTTTTTTTTCACTGGCGACTAACTTTTCACGCTTTTCACTGAAATATTTTTGCTAGCAACTAAATCTGAAAACCTAGGGGCCAGCTGGCCCCAAGGTTTTTTCCTGAAAGTTGAGCCCACTCAAATATGTAATAATAAATTCCTGTAACATACATGGGTATCTAACTCGCCCCAAGAAAGAAAAAAGTTGAATTGAATTACATTTGTCAAGTTGACAAAAAGTGCTGATGTGTGGTATTTTTAGGGACATTGGGACGTTTGGGAAAAATCCCTCCATATGCTTGATACCCCACCCCAAAATCCACAGTGAAATGTTGTCCTGACTGCTTGTTCATGTTTGATGCATTCTACTGTGCCAGGTCACCCCTTTCTGAGCCTGCCAAGTTCAGCTCTCACCCCTGACCTCAAGTGGAATGTTGTCTTATAGTATTTACCTCCTCTGCTTGTTCATGTTTGATGTACTCTGATACCATTTCCACCGTGCCAAGTCGCCCATTTGTTAGCACACCAAGTTCAACTCTCAATAGACACAAAGGTCCTCTGTAATATAAACAACAAAAGCATTCAGTGCTAAACCTATCCTCGACATTGATTAATAAAAAGTTCCACAAATAGATCCTGACAATAACCAATTTTGAAATTAAAGTACATGCAGTCAACTCTTAAAACACCCTTACCACACTTCTCCTGGAGAGATAAATCAAACTCTCGAAATAATTGCCATAATTGCTTTTTTGCTGCCATACTGAAACTTGCAAATGCCACTGTGACCTTATTGAGAGGATGGCAATGTGAGCATCGGAAATCAAAACCAAGTCACATCCAGACTAGTCCACACACTCTCCTGTTCTTGTTTGATGTTGGGTTATTTTACTGCTTACTAAGTGCATCAGCGAAGACTACAAACCTGTCAAACAAGATGAGCAAGTTGTCATGGCAACCAATACTGTTGTCAGCAAGGTTACCAATGGGAGCTTCACATGACCATATCACCCCATTCAGTTTCACTGGATGTCTAAAACCAACAAATGAATGCAATTAGTAAAATTCTTGAGTAAAATAGCTAAACACGGAATAATTAATGTAGTTGTTAGGAGTTACCAAAACAAAACAAAATAGATTAAAATATTTAGAGAGGATGCCACATCAGCCTCAGCTGGTTTTCATGCAGCTCCTCTATCCTGGTCAAATTGGAATTTGGAGATGTTGGGTTTTGTGGAGGGAGGGAAACCGGAGTACCTGTTTAAAAACCCTTCAAGCAGGGTGAGAACCAGCAATAAACTCGACCCACATATGGCTCCAGGCCAGAATTTGAACCCACATGTAGGCCATATAGGTGGGAGGCAAGTGTTCTTCTATGCTCTCCTTAAGAGTGACTGATATCCAAAACTTTGCCTTTTGATAATAGTACTAACACTGATCCTATTTAGATAGCCTGAATAAAAAATTCTTGAGGTAAGGCAGCTGAGGAAAGAAAGGTGAGAATTGGCTTACGTTAAATATTTCCTGAGTTCAAGATTGTGTTGCGGGGAAGGATTCTCTGCTACAAGTTGAATGAGAACTGGAGCTAAAGCCATGTCAAAGATCTGGAAAAAATACCAACAATTTTTTTTATTCTTTTATAAGGTACAGACTACAACTCACTAAACAATATCAAAAAATTCACTCAGTCAAGAAACGTGATCCATCACTTGAGACCCCAGTCTCAACAGTAAACCAATCGTTAATTATAACTACTTATTAACCTAGAGTGAAGCCTTCATGGGAAAATCTCAATACGAGACCTTACCACATTGATCAAGCGATAGTGAGGTCAATACCACAAGGCTGAGGTCTGAGATTTTCCTGTTAAGACCAAACCTTCAAGGTTAATAGGTTGTTTATTATATGGCCTTTTGCTTTGTTTTTACAGGCCGATAATCGGCCGTTGGCATTATGGGAGAATAATGTCCTGGAATCAAAGCACACGAGCCAATCAGAGTCTGCGTTATATTGGCTACAAACACAGGCCGTATGGGTGCAAATGTTACCAGCAATTTATTACTTTATATAAAAGAATCAGATGTAATGAGCACACCTGAAATTATATTCGCTGATCACGTCTTGTAAAACTGAGATGATCAATGATGCTGAACACTCATATTTAGACTATCTGTAGAACCCTACCTTTTAATTTTTTATATAACCACGTCACTATTGTGCCCTGTTTAATTCCGAACAAGCAAAAGCTCGGTTTTGGAAAGAATATTTCTACCTTTACTAGAAGTAAAGTCTGCATACCAGCCATGTGTTCCATCAGGCCAGAGAGTATCCCAGCTTCTGTAGCATGAAGTGACTAGGAGTATTTCTACTCCCCCCTGGATGGAATGCTATTCCATTATAGGGTTACCCCAAGTATTAAGTTTGCCAGTGCCCATTTATATACCTGGATGGGGTGGGACACCGTGAGAGTAAAGTGTCTTGCCCAAGAATACAACGCAATGTCCCCAGCCAGGGCCTGAACCCAGACCCCTTGATCCAGAGATGAGCACACTAACCATGAGGCCACCGCAGAAATTTACAACTGGATTTTCATGGCCCATTGATGGTGAGATTAACAATGTTCCACCGTAGTCTCAAATGGTCCCTTGGATTAATAGGAGTCCAGCATAATTGCAATTGACACCAATGGATAAATGGGGCTCCATTTAAATTGCAACAAACCTGTATGTTTATCACACTTTTTTACCTGGACATCCCCATCAGCGCTGCACACAAGCACCACAGCATCACCAGGATGCCACTGGATAACTGATGGAATCTAAAGAAACATGACAATAGATAATAATAATAATAATAATAATAATAATGGTGGTTGCACTGGGACTTGACCATGCAACCTCTGGATATCAAGTCCAGCATCTAACCTATTGGCTATGCTACCTTCAATAGGATCACTTAGATGGATAGTGGCATACACTGTGAGGAAGACACTGCTCGTGGTATTCCGTCTGACAGCCCAGCGCAAGACGTTACTGGAGATTCCCTTCCACCTTTAACAGGATTCCAATCCACAACCTTTGTGATTGTGGTGCAAAAGCCAGAATTATAAAGTGAACACTGTTTGTTCTTTGAAAACTTGACATGCATGATTTCTTTCATTCACTTAAAACATAGTGATACTCTTGTCAATGGAAGATATTCTAGAACACGATTGTGCGTCTCACCAAAGTAGCTTTTGTCATCTGTGTCACTCGTCTGTGATCATCATACAACATCTGAAAAAAAAAGTCATGAAGCAAACATTAAATAAATCTTTCTCAGAGCATGATATAAAAGGTTTACATTTAATAGCCCAACTTTGATATATTAAAATTCAGCCTAAAAACAATAGGCCTCAGCACGAGGCTCTGGGGAATAACTACAGAGTTTGTGAGATTTATTCCCCAGAGCCTCATGCTGAGGTCTATTGTGTTAGGCTGAACTTTAATACATCAAAATTGGGCTATTGAATCAACTTTCTACATCATCATTGCATCCCTAAAAAGGAACTAAGAACTTGTGGGGGTGGTCAACCATGTCTCAGATAGGAGGGGATCACAATTTTTTGCCTTCAATGAGCAGATCTTTATAAGGCAATTTTCGTGGCAAAATTCATAGAAATCTATCAAATATTCACAACGTTATGATGTTGTGTGCCAATTTGGCACTCTCAGGGAGTAAAGGGTTAAGTGATGATTGATCCCTAATACATCCTAGCAGACGGTGCAATAATGATGATGATCATGGTGATGATGATGATGATGATGATGAAGACGACGACGACGACGACGAAGTACTGATTTTAATTTTCAGTTTTTAAAAAACTAAAACGTTGGCTTACAAGCATGCCATCCTCACACCCAAGCAGCAGCTTGTCTTCAGCACGATTTCTTTGTTGAACAACTATTGGAGCTACAACACAAAAAAATTATAGGAAAAGAGTTAACTTGACAAAAGGATTGTTTCCCGATCAGCTATTTTGCCCCATGGAAAGGGCTGGAAAATAAATTTACCTGCAAATATTTCATGATAGTAATTTCCANGGGGGGGGGGAAGGGGTTGAACAAATTTTAATGTGGGATCCACCCCTAGAGCCAAACCCTTACCCTTTTACAGACCGTGTTTGACAGGAAAAAGTAACCCTGTTAATCGATGTCTCCCATAGAAAATTGCACACCTTTCACCGACAGTTTCTATACCTTTGCAGTGAGTGTGTTAACCATGAATATTTTCTGTTTCCCCTTTCAATACCTAAGTTTCCTCTTAAATAACTTTTAATACCTAATTCCCCTTTAAATACCTAAGTGAACGTTTCCGTACCTTTTCTATACTCCAACTCACGAAACACCTGCCATTTGACATACCTCCAGCAATAAAAGATATCCCTTTAAGGTGGAACCTCTCCACCTACTCCATTACAAGGAGTACCCCCTCCCCCTCATAAGACAGGGGATAAGCTCTCTGCTCTAGAAAGGTGTTATACATGGCTACTTCTATGTGGCACAATCAGGATGCAGAACTTTGGTAAGTTACCCAATTGTTAAAAAGATGGATAATCCATGTTTGTTTTGTTAGTATTTATACAGCCACTGTACAGTTGATGGCAATGTCCACTCTTTGAGCAAATGGGACCTGTCATTTATTCTGTCTCAAAGGACCTGATGCTCCATGTTATACATGCTAGAGCAGACCCTGGATGAGGGGAACTCCCAAATAAAAAGGACTTGGGTGCTTGTCGTACCTTCGAGGGGTTAAAAAAGCAGTTTTGCTACCTCTCAGGGTGTTCAGCCTCAACAGGTCCACAGTGTGAGCTTTTGTGGTACCTTATAGGGTACTGAGCTGAACGTGACAGGAGATAATGTGTTGTTTTAGAATTGGTACCTCTTAGGAGTGAAAAACATTTCAAGCCATGCCCATGACGCAGGATCTCGGTACCTCTTAGGGGTTCTTTTCAAAATTTATGACAAGCACTCCTGTCCATTTTTTTTTTTTTGGGAGTCCCCTTCCCCAGGGAGCAGAAGTATATAAGTAAACACAAGTGTGAAGCAAATTTTTCTTTCATAATGTTCACATAATCATTTGAGATTAAGCTTACTCTAATGACGTAATTAAGAAGTTGAAACTTCCTTACCCTCTCTTTCAGAGTTCAACGGTAGTTTCAGAAGATTGTTCATGATAATAGACATACATGCAAAACATGCATTCCCTTCTGTGTTCCAGTTCATACTGTTGAGAAAATTCACCGCCTGTTGAAGCAGAGATACAGTGATGTGTCTGAACATAACATTTGTACTACCATTCCTCAGCAATAGTTTGAAAATGTCTCTAGTAAAGTAACTAACAAAAGTTGAATCACAGTGGAATCCTGATTCTTTGAACCCTCAATTTTTCCGATCTCCTGATAACTCGAACCAAAAGCCATTCCCTCTCCTCAGTCAAATACTGTAATTTTACCCCTGATTTCTCAAACTCTCTGATTTTTCAAACCAATTTTTGTTTCCCTGAGAGGTTCAAAAAATCATGACTCCACTGTATTTGGACCATGGATGTGAAAACTAAATGTTTTAAATCCTGCTGTATGTTCTCAGTTACATATCCTGTATTTGACAATAAGTACATGTATTATAGAGCTCCAAGTCTCTTACAATTATTAGAGAGGGAATTCCCATAGGAAATTACAAGGATCATGCCTCTTGAAAATTTGTATAAAACTGCTAGAAGTTACGAGAATCAATTTTATCAAGGTGTAGTAGAAATCCCAAAATCTTTAAATGATAATTATGTGTGATAAAATGAGCTCCAGGTGACACAATCCAGCCTTTTAAGTGTAACTTGTGGCTAATAGAACATTTTATGAAGCTATATTGAGTCTTCTAAACAAGTTTGTTATCAAAAATGTACCCTAAGAGGTACCACAGAACTTGATGCTGCGACCACTGGGATCGCCAATGCGCTATTTTTTTTTCACTGGCGACTAACTTTTCACGCTTTTCACTGAAATATTTTTGCTAGCAACTAAATCTGAAAACCTAGGGGCCAGCTGGCCCCAAGGTTTTTTCCTGAAAGTTGAGCCCACTCAAATATGTAATAATAAATTCCTGTAACATACATGGGTATCTAACTCGCCCCAAGAAAGAAAAAAGTTGAATTGAATTACATTTGTCAAGTTGACAAAAAGTGCTGATGTGTGGTATTTTTAGGGACATTGGGACGTTTGGGAAAAATCCCTCCATATGCTTGATACCCCACCCCAAAATCCACAGTGAAATGTTGTCCTGACTGCTTGTTCATGTTTGATGCATTCTACTGTGCCAGGTCACCCCTTTCTGAGCCTGCCAAGTTCAGCTCTCACCCCTGACCTCAAGTGGAATGTTGTCTTATAGTATTTACCTCCTCTGCTTGTTCATGTTTGATGTACTCTGATACCATTTCCACCGTGCCAAGTCGCCCATTTGTTAGCACACCAAGTTCAACTCTCAATAGACACAAAGGTCCTCTGTAATATAAACAACAAAAGCATTCAGTGCTAAACCTATCCTCGACATTGATTAATAAAAAGTTCCACAAATAGATCCTGACAATAACCAATTTTGAAATTAAAGTACATGCAGTCAACTCTTAAAACACCCTTACCACACTTCTCCTGGAGAGATAAATCAAACTCTCGAAATAATTGCCATAATTGCTTTTTTGCTGCCATACTGAAACTTGCAAATGCCACTGTGACCTTATTGAGAGGATGGCAATGTGAGCATCGGAAATCAAAACCAAGTCACATCCAGACTAGTCCACACACTCTCCTGTTCTTGTTTGATGTTGGGTTATTTTACTGCTTACTAAGTGCATCAGCGAAGACTACAAACCTGTCAAACAAGATGAGCAAGTTGTCATGGCAACCAATACTGTTGTCAGCAAGGTTACCAATGGGAGCTTCACATGACCATATCACCCCATTCAGTTTCACTGGATGTCTAAAACCAACAAATGAATGCAATTAGTAAAATTCTTGAGTAAAATAGCTAAACACGGAATAATTAATGTAGTTGTTAGGAGTTACCAAAACAAAACAAAATAGATTAAAATATTTAGAGAGGATGCCACATCAGCCTCAGCTGGTTTTCATGCAGCTCCTCTATCCTGGTCAAATTGGAATTTGGAGATGTTGGGTTTTGTGGAGGGAGGGAAACCGGAGTACCTGTTTAAAAACCCTTCAAGCAGGGTGAGAACCAGCAATAAACTCGACCCACATATGGCTCCAGGCCAGAATTTGAACCCACATGTAGGCCATATAGGTGGGAGGCAAGTGTTCTTCTATGCTCTCCTTAAGAGTGACTGATATCCAAAACTTTGCCTTTTGATAATAGTACTAACACTGATCCTATTTAGATAGCCTGAATAAAAAATTCTTGAGGTAAGGCAGCTGAGGAAAGAAAGGTGAGAATTGGCTTACGTTAAATATTTCCTGAGTTCAAGATTGTGTTGCGGGGAAGGATTCTCTGCTACAAGTTGAATGAGAACTGGAGCTAAAGCCATGTCAAAGATCTGGAAAAAATACCAACAATTTTTTTTATTCTTTTATAAGGTACAGACTACAACTCACTAAACAATATCAAAAAATTCACTCAGTCAAGAAACGTGATCCATCACTTGAGACCCCAGTCTCAACAGTAAACCAATCGTTAATTATAACTACTTATTAACCTAGAGTGAAGCCTTCATGGGAAAATCTCAATACGAGACCTTACCACATTGATCAAGCGATAGTGAGGTCAATACCACAAGGCTGAGGTCTGAGATTTTCCTGTTAAGACCAAACCTTCAAGGTTAATAGGTTGTTTATTATATGGCCTTTTGCTTTGTTTTTACAGGCCGATAATCGGCCGTTGGCATTATGGGAGAATAATGTCCTGGAATCAAAGCACACGAGCCAATCAGAGTCTGCGTTATATTGGCTACAAACACAGGCCGTATGGGTGCAAATGTTACCAGCAATTTATTACTTTATATAAAAGAATCAGATGTAATGAGCACACCTGAAATTATATTCGCTGATCACGTCTTGTAAAACTGAGATGATCAATGATGCTGAACACTCATATTTAGACTATCTGTAGAACCCTACCTTTTAATTTTTTATATAACCACGTCACTATTGTGCCCTGTTTAATTCCGAACAAGCAAAAGCTCGGTTTTGGAAAGAATATTTCTACCTTTACTAGAAGTAAAGTCTGCATACCAGCCATGTGTTCCATCAGGCCAGAGAGTATCCCAGCTTCTGTAGCATGAAGTGACTAGGAGTATTTCTACTCCCCCCTGGATGGAATGCTATTCCATTATAGGGTTACCCCAAGTATTAAGTTTGCCAGTGCCCATTTATATACCTGGATGGGGTGGGACACCGTGAGAGTAAAGTGTCTTGCCCAAGAATACAACGCAATGTCCCCAGCCAGGGCCTGAACCCAGACCCCTTGATCCAGAGATGAGCACACTAACCATGAGGCCACCGCAGAAATTTACAACTGGATTTTCATGGCCCATTGATGGTGAGATTAACAATGTTCCACCGTAGTCTCAAATGGTCCCTTGGATTAATAGGAGTCCAGCATAATTGCAATTGACACCAATGGATAAATGGGGCTCCATTTAAATTGCAACAAACCTGTATGTTTATCACACTTTTTTACCTGGACATCCCCATCAGCGCTGCACACAAGCACCACAGCATCACCAGGATGCCACTGGATAACTGATGGAATCTAAAGAAACATGACAATAGATAATAATAATAATAATAATAATAATAATGGTGGTTGCACTGGGACTTGACCATGCAACCTCTGGATATCAAGTCCAGCATCTAACCTATTGGCTATGCTACCTTCAATAGGATCACTTAGATGGATAGTGGCATACACTGTGAGGAAGACACTGCTCGTGGTATTCCGTCTGACAGCCCAGCGCAAGACGTTACTGGAGATTCCCTTCCACCTTTAACAGGATTCCAATCCACAACCTTTGTGATTGTGGTGCAAAAGCCAGAATTATAAAGTGAACACTGTTTGTTCTTTGAAAACTTGACATGCATGATTTCTTTCATTCACTTAAAACATAGTGATACTCTTGTCAATGGAAGATATTCTAGAACACGATTGTGCGTCTCACCAAAGTAGCTTTTGTCATCTGTGTCACTCGTCTGTGATCATCATACAACATCTGAAAAAAAAAGTCATGAAGCAAACATTAAATAAATCTTTCTCAGAGCATGATATAAAAGGTTTACATTTAATAGCCCAACTTTGATATATTAAAATTCAGCCTAAAAACAATAGGCCTCAGCACGAGGCTCTGGGGAATAACTACAGAGTTTGTGAGATTTATTCCCCAGAGCCTCATGCTGAGGTCTATTGTGTTAGGCTGAACTTTAATACATCAAAATTGGGCTATTGAATCAACTTTCTACATCATCATTGCATCCCTAAAAAGGAACTAAGAACTTGTGGGGGTGGTCAACCATGTCTCAGATAGGAGGGGATCACAATTTTTTGCCTTCAATGAGCAGATCTTTATAAGGCAATTTTCGTGGCAAAATTCATAGAAATCTATCAAATATTCACAACGTTATGATGTTGTGTGCCAATTTGGCACTCTCAGGGAGTAAAGGGTTAAGTGATGATTGATCCCTAATACATCCTAGCAGACGGTGCAATAATGATGATGATCATGGTGATGATGATGATGATGATGATGAAGACGACGACGACGACGATGAAGTACTGATTTTAATTTTCAGTTTTTAAAAAACTAAAACGTTGGCTTACAAGCATGCCATCCTCACACCCAAGCAGCAGCTTGTCTTCAGCACGATTTCTTTGTTGAACAACTATTGGAGCTACAACACAAAAAAATTATAGGAAAAGAGTTAACTTGACAAAAGGATTGTTTCCCGATCAGCTATTTTGCCCCATGGAAAGGGCTGGAAAATAAATTTACCTGCAAATATTTCATGATAGTAATTTCCATAAAATTGATATATTCTGAAAATTTGTAGTAAAAACAGTCATGGTTGTAAGCATAAAGTGCCCATAACACAAATTTTTTGCTTTCTCATCTGATTCTTCATAACATCCAATTAACTTTCTCGAAAAATTTCTCAATTTGCATAAAACGCAATTTTTTTTTATAATTTTTTAAAGGCGTTCAAATTTGCTGCCATTTTGGTCTACCATTCGCACCAGTCTTCCTCGGATTGAAGTGAGTCGTGACATAGGTTCAGGAACACATGATTTGAGTCGTGACTTATCTGACTTGAAAACAACTAAAAATTTTGCTCCAGAGTTGTCTAAATTTAGTTGAAAATACCGGAAAGGTGCATTGCCGCTCTTTGTAACAACGTTAATGATCCAGAAAACAACATCAGTCTTCCTGAATCTACGTCACAGGCATCAGTCAGATGGCCATTTTGAGCACGTTATTCATGTGATCAGTAGCAGGGGTCGACCGCAAGAAAATAGAATTTTGAACTTTGTAAAAATTCGTAAAAAAATTGCGTTTTATCTAAATCAAAAATTTTTTTCACAGAAGTTCATTAGGTGAAATGTAGAATTAGATGAGCGCAATTTTTTTTTCTTGACATTATGGGCACTTAAAACACACAGCAACGGATCCAAAATTTATAGGTCAAATTTGAGGGATGTATTTATAACCAAGTCTTTTAAGGTTAAATGTGAAGCATTTTCGCCTAATGGCAGTTTTTAATACCCAAATTTCACTTTGTCTCAATGTGCCAAACAAAGAATTTGAATAAGAAAAATGTACTGTAATAAACATGAAGAATTTGTAAATAAACCCCTAGAATGCAGAAAATAATTTATGTGATGCTGGTGTCCTAGTCACTAATAACCATTACTGAACAGCTAATTGTGTTGATTGGAAATGTACACAAAATGTTATATAACTGTTAAAATTTATAATACCTTTTACAGGAACAGTAGTAGTAGTTACTTTTTCAATCTGTTGAAAAATAAAATGCAACAAAAGATTGTCTAAAAAAAGATATTGATTTTAATTTGATTGCTAAAAGTTGTAAAAGTAAAACGATGACTGTCTACAGTGTACCTTTTGTGATCAAGAGGTCGCTGTTAAGCTTGTCACAGCCATAATTATCATACTTAGTAAAAATCTATTAGCATTCCATCACAAATGCTATTCTCTGATTGGCCATGCTACTCACTATCTATTCTGTTGCAGATAGTAAAGTTTGCAGCCTAGCAGTGTGTGCTTGTCTACAAAATGACGGTTGTTTCCTTCCGTTTTCAAAGTGGATCTGTGAAGAGGATTTACATTAAGTTCTGAACAAATAGTTAGATCTATTTCAAAACATTTGATAATTTACTCTTGATTTCTTATGCATGATAGTTGGCTTGGGCTGCACACTCGTCAACTATGATGTGATAAGAGCCCAAGCTCATAATCTAATTGTTAGATAGAATCATTTCCATGCAACAAACCTTAGTGCCATTGTACTCATAAATACAGCTGTCAACACTGGAGTCTCCACCCCCTGCTGATGACTGCTCCAGGGTCAGTACATGGTGTGGCTGATTGAAACTGAATATAAACAAAACAAAAAATTACGGTGAAACCTGTATTAAGAGAACACCTTTGGAACACTCACTAGTGTTCGCTTTATACAGGGTGTCCACTCTAACCAGGTTCTAATACAATGTGCAATAATAGTTAGTTATTAAACCTTTGTAACACAGTGTAATATATAATGTAGGATCAAAGACTGCTAATAAGACAATATCCAGTCAGCAAATGCATTAATCTGGAATAATCTACTTAGCTTTAAAATGTTATCACTGAACAATGACATTAAAGGAGTCTCGGCTGAGCTTTTAGAAGTAAAAGGCCGTAAGTGTCCAGATTTTGTGCAACAAAATGGCTTAAAGTGGTGTCTGCATCTGCTTAACAGAGGTGTCCACTGAAAGCAGGTTTATTTGTTAATATGTGAAGAAAATTTAAGGACTCAAACTGCTGTTCACTTAATGGAGGGCGTACGCTTAATATGCCGTCCGTTTAATACAGGTTTCACTGTGGTGAAATTCATTGTATTTCAGGGATCATCACTAAATGATCCTTCACAACAAAAGTATGGAAACAAACAGAGGTGTATAAAAATGTCTTATTTGAACACTGCTACATGTATCTATTATTCATACTTGCCTGTACAGGTGCAGATACTGACCTAAATGCTGCATGGATAGGATCGCAATCTGTCCTGACATAACACAACATCTCCATTTTTGGCCTGACAACAAAAATCAAAAGAGAAAAATTTCAAGAGGTCAGGGTAGCTAGCATGATGTCACTAGAAGCAGTTGCTCCTCCCTGTGGACAGAATGTGGAAATGCAGTTGTAGCTTAATTGGTTAGAATGCTGGACTTTGGATTCAGTGGTCCAAGGACAAGTCCTAACTGAGGTCATTTTGACTTGTGTTCTTGTGCAAGATGCTTTACTCTCACAAGTACAGTTTAATTACCTACATTTTAAATCTAGCATTACTAACTGTTATTAATAACCTTTTTAGGCAAGTTTCTTTCACATGGGGATGACCTTGAAACTCCCAATTTTTTGGTCATTAACATGCATGATGTGGTGTGGCGTACTGTGGTTAAGCAATAGAGCACTTTTTTCCGTGTTTACATAGCCTCATCTAAACACTTGGAGGGTTGGGAAATTCAAGACAGTTATGCAAACCCGAGACGTAGTCGAGGGTTTGCATAACTTTCGAGAATTCTCCCAACCCTCTGAGTGTTTAGATGGGGCTATGTAAACACGGAAAAAGTTCTCTATTGCTTTTATAAAATAATTCTCAAAAATACGTGCAAAACTAAAACGTCACAACTGTGTTTATATACTCTCATCTAAACACACCTATCAACCAATGAGAGCACGCATAGTAGCTCAGTTATTTTATAATGTTGTTTGGTGTGGTGTGGTATGGTATGGTAGGTGATGTTAATAACATTACCCGTTTAGACTGAAGATGACTAGGTTTGCTCTATCTTTCTCTCCTGACATCGGAGACCATGGCCAGGCTTCTTCAGTGTGACTGCACCACCACACCAACACCTGACAATTAAATGCATTTGGTTATAATAAGTGGTAACCAGCAGAAGTCTTGCATACTCTTTGGCATACATGTAGTTGTTTAAAATATAGAGCAAGAACATGATGTAACTAGTAACAAATGCAAGGAACCTTTAAAAATTACAGAAAGTTGTGAAATATGTTGATTGGAGCAAAACTGCATGATGAAATCACTCACTCTGGCTTCAAGTGTAAAAAAATGATATAATTATGAACTCAACATAGTAAATGGTTTGAACCCAGGGGTATTGGTAGTTCGTATAGTGTGATCGTCTGGGTGAGGGTGGTTCTGAAAAGAACTGTTGTTGGTGACTGACGTTTCGACAACCTGAGTGAAAGTCATCTTCAAAGTCAAGTGACTCTGAAGATGCCTCGACTCTGAAGATGAATTCCGATCAGGTTGTCGAAACATCAGTCACCAACAACAGTTCTTTTCAAAACTACCCTCACCCGGATGATCACACTATATGAACTACTGATATTATGACCTGTCGTGCACGTGCACAATACAAAATTGACCATACAAGATTGCTTACCATGTCTTGCCTTGAGTTGAGGGACAAATGTCTGTTCAGTCTCTTGCTTGATGGGCCAGGAATATCAACAAATGATGTCTGGAAACAGGAAAAAGATTAAAAATGTTCTAAGTCCACTATAGTTGAAAATAACACACCCTAAATTGATATTTTGATTAAAACACCTTTATGAAGAGTGAGGCTATATATCAGATGGGTGGGTGGTTGTGGGTCATGCCTCATGGGTCGTGTGCAGGTGATGTTGGACACGGCTTGTAAAGCACGCTGGGAGAAATTTTCACTGAAGTTCATTTTCATCTGATTGTCGAACGGCAAACATCTCAACGTGCAGAAGGTGATATGGAAATATGACTCATAGGAGGTTCCCTCGCTTTCGATGCTGAAAGAAATCTTGAATGACATCCATATTAAATCTTTTGCAGGCCAAGTGACAGCTGTAGATGTCTTCTACTCGATTCACAAAGCCGCCATTTTCAGTGCTGAACAACTGATTTTGGAATCGAAGCTTTGCGGTACGTTGAATCTCTACTGTTGAACAGGAAAATTTTTTCCGTTTCCGACACAATTGAATTTGATCTTAACTTGCCAGGTGGTGCGTGAAGATAATGCAAGATTTTATCATCTAGGTCCAAGTGGTCCAGATGACGAAAATTGCATTTATTTAGCTCCTGCTAAAGACTATATTACCAGTATCAGGTCAGAACTGAACTATGAAACTCAAAAGAGTTATTTATGAAACAGTTATATAGAATTTTCAGAAAGTTTTTACTAATCCTTGGCTGTCCTTGTGGATCCGTCTTACATTTCTGCGAGTTTGGAATGGATTCTATTAACTTGACAGATTTACTAACTAAATAATGTGGGACTTGACCTTATCACAATTTGGAAGCAACGCACACATAATTTAGCCGGAAGATTTGATGAGCAATTAATGCAGTGCCAGTTCATTGAAATAAATACCTTCCTGTATGGTACACCAGCCCAGCATTAATGGCCAACTCCCCATCCCATTTTAAAACACTTGCCTGACACAATTTTTGTTTTCCACACAGACAAGATGTGCATGTATAAATTCAGTTAAAGCAATAAACCCAGCTGATGTTCTGAGGTATTAGTGATGAGGGGTGTGAAGATTTTAGCAAAAGGGAGAGGAGGGTGGGTAACAATGATAACCTGAAGTTTTCAAGAGCTTTGTTTGTTGGTTGTGAACCAAATTTATGTATAACTGTACTCTTCATTTTTGGAGAGCAGCTGCAGTCTGCAGTCGTTGATTTGTGGCACATAAATGATGAAAAAAGAATGTAGATGTCTGTCTTAACTACCTTCGTTGATAAATTGATTTATTGGAATAATTCAAATTATATCACGTGATTATTAAATTATTACAACTTGATAACAGTATGCAGAGAAAGAAAGCACTGTTTTGGGTTGCCGTGTCAGTCATTGAACTATTTTTGGGTCTCGTTTTAGCCTAAAAGATCGGTTATAAAAATCTGTGCCTCGTTTTCACTGTGCCCCCTTCCCCACCTCCTGGGATTTATAAAAGGTAAACTTAAGGTAAAGTCTGCATACAAGCTAAGTAGCCCATCAGGCCGGAGCTTATCCAGGTTTCTGTGGCATGAAGTGACTAGGAGTAGTTCTACCCCCCAGACAGGATGCAAGTCCGTTGCAGGCTTACTCCAAGCATTAAGGTTGCCGGTACACATTTATACACCTGGGTAGAGAGAGGTACTGTGTCTTGTCCAAGAAGCAATGCAATGATCCCTCTCAGATCCAGAGACAAGCGCACTAACCATGAGGCCACTGCGCCTCCCCCTGAGATTTATACTCTATTATTAAATACCTTTGGCTCCAATCCTGACATTTTTTCAAGCTTCTTAAAGTCAAGGCTTGGTTTCTTGTTAAAATGTATGTAACAAAGTTTGGCTTTCTCCACAAGTGAAAACAAGAGGAAGAAGTCCGTCACAATTGCTGAAAACGAACAAAGGACTTAATCAACTGAATGTCAGGTACATGACTGTGTTCCATGTAAAAATGACCAGACAATCAAACATGATATGAAAACATAAATTGTTAAAAATTAAACTAGTCACTTGCAATAACCAGTTTGATGCCTCAACTGACCATCTCTTCAATTATATGCTATGGGTTAAAGTTGTGCATGAATTTTGTTTTCATTTGTTTCAGATTGTGAGGTATAAGCAGAAGGAGTCACTGTGAAATAGAAGTTAAGTAAAGTGTGTTGCCTGGAAAAAAACCTGCCAATATATTGATGCAGATGTTGATTAATTAGCAGTTTAATATCAAGTGATACATAACAGGCTGCCAGCACACCTCCAACCTCTGCAGAGTTCAGATGCCCTGACTGTCGGCAAAATTGGCCTTTGGAGAATCTGAACATTACCAAGCAGACACTTTAGTACTTGATATTGAGGGATTACCCACAATGACGACAACCATCATGTGATACCCACCTCTGTTTATTGGATCAGGAACTTTTCCAGCTAAGCTTTTGTCAACTGAGATTTTCTCAATATCCCCAGAAGACAAAGACACCAGGATGGAGATGAGGAATCCATTATTTAACAGCAACTGATGAAGAAAAAATTACAATTTTACACATTAAGCCCAGGCCAAATGGACTCAAAGTAGTAGCAAGTAGCTGCATGATGAATTTGTGTAGAGACTTGCATGCAAAGTAATGTCTGCATACAGGCCGAGTAGCTGATCAGGCCAGTGCTTATCTCTGGTTTTGGTAGCATGACGCGACTAGGAATATTTCTACTCTCCCTTGGATGGGATGCTACCATTAAATTTGCCGGTAACCATTTATACACTTGGGTGGAGAGAGGCAGCATGAGAATAAAATTAATGGTCCTGGCCAGGGTTCGATCCCAGATGACTTAATTCAGAGTTAAGCACAGCAACCACAAATGTCTTTGAAGTGTCCCAACTTCAAATCAATTCTACAACTCATGGGTTTTTAACTAAACATATCATTTTCACCTCAAAATGTGGTGCAATCCACAGTAGGTGAAAAGATATTTGCAGTTGTCAAAGTTGGAAGTATTTATTAATAAAAATAGAGGCACTTTTGACAACAGATGTTAATATTGGAAACATAATTATTATTATCTTCTACTGTGGGAGGTGACAGAGGTCGCTGGCTAGCTAGCTTGACTAAGCAAACTGGCAAAATGGAATTGCATCCATGGTACAGTAAATACCTGAATATTTCTTAATGTTCTCCACCGAACGTCGAGGACTTTACAGTGCTGAAGCAACTCCTTCAAAGGAAAGAAAAACAATTGGAATAAGAAAGATCATATTGTCTATTCCCAAATTACATAACACTGACCCACTAACAGAGAGACCTTCTTTAAGAAGTAATATAGATCTTCTATTACTGTCAAGTGTTACCCTCCTTAAAAAGAAGTCTTACTTTCTTAGTACTTACTAATACATTTGGGAGGAACAACAAAATCCCTTAGCTTGCTAATCTTCAAGTATTTCTATTAATCCACAGTAAACACTATAATTTTACTTCTTGAAGGGATATTTTGCCAATGAGCTCTTAGGCTTGGCTAAATCTATATATTATCTTTTACATGTATTACTGTTGCGTGTTACCCTCCTTGCTCTCCTTAAATAAAGTCTTACTTACTTAGTACTTACTAATATATTTGGGAATAACAACAAAATGCCTTAGTTTGCTAATCTTCAAGTATTTCTGTTAATCCAGAGTAAACATTATAATTTTACTTCTTGAAGGGATATTTTGACAAATGGAAACTGGAAAGCAACACAGAACTAAAACACAAGCTGCAATAACAATAATGTGAGTAAAGAGTAATTGAAATAAAAAGTGAGTTTTCTGTCTACATGTTTTTATCGCGTTATGGATGATGAATGTAGAATCAACTTCACTTGTTAAGACCTACTAGTAAGCTATATTCTTATTACCTAACTATTTTACGCTGTTGTGATGGAGGAAGGAGAACATAAGTATTGATGACACAAAATTACACACCTCACACTCCTTAAGTGTATCTCGCAACTTCTCAGGTCTACGGTTTTTTGGTGTCCATGAAACTCCCCTGTCCTCACCCCACAGTCTTCTTTGTTCACAATACACCCCCTCTCCAGCAGAACCTGTTGCATTATTACATATACGTGACCACACTGAGAGCTTTATTCAAACACATGCCGGGGTGACCAGGGTGGAAAATTGGCAGGGGGGCGGTGGGGATGCTGAAAGGGTGGTAAGGGTGTGGCAGGGGTGGCGAGGTTGGCAGGGGTGGCCAGGGTGGTGATTACAATTTATTGATCATTTTAAACCACAAAATTAATAGAGGCTAAATAAAATTAGAATTTTGGCCATTACAACAAATCTGTGCCAAAGTTGATATCTAATAGAGATTAAGATTAACGGATGGGGTAAAAGGTGTCCTTAAGATTATAAAAAATTGAAACATTAGAAGCTAAATAATTAAGTAACTCTTAGCTGTTCACATTTCCACCCTTTACAGTGGTGGATCTAGGGGAGGGGCCCAGGGGGCCCAGGCCCCCCCTTATTATGGGTATAGCAAAAAATCACAGAAGGAAGAAAAGCCGGCAAGGTAAGCAACCCCCCCTCCCCCCTAGCTCAAGGTCTGGATCTGCCACTGATTATTGTTAATAATATGCATTGTATCATTCATCACTGTAGGCTTGGTTACCAGCTGCTGTTCAGGAAAGGAGCCCATGGCAGTAGACTGGACATGAGAGAGCAGTGGAAATCAAGCCCATCATCACTGAAGCAAGTACAATACTTGAACAAAACAGTTGGGATGAAACAAATTGTTCTCAAATGTTTCCTGATGTTGGCAGAGATAAAAATCATGAAATCCTCTTTTCTACACCTGTACTGAGAGGCTATGCTTACTTATCACAAATTATGTTATTGTGTAGCTGTGAGAGATGGAATGTAATAGCTTTAACAAAGGCCCAGTGTAAAAGATACATTACAGTCCTATTGTCTTTTAATGTAAATACCATATACAGTTGAATCAGTGCAATGTTTATACAAATTGCAAAGTAGAACACATTGAGTTCATGGTGTAGAGTGCTTTTCAATTGAGTGTCATAAAACCAAAACTAAAGTAATCACTCTAGCCAATCACAAAGAACGCAGATAATCCAGTGAGCCAATCAAAACTCCGCCAAGTAATTACATGTAGCTGACGCAAAGCTCGGGAAAACGCGTGCGAGTGAATCCCACTTGGTTTTGATTTTACTCCTGATTGGATGAAAAAGTGGCGCGAGTTTTTTAAACTAATCGGGTGGCGTAGTAAGTGCAATACCAATTACTTTTCACACTCAAATGAAAACTGCTCTAGTGCAGTGTAATCAAATCAATATCAGCAAGGTTTTGCAGCTTGAATTAACATGACATTCGCACTGGTCAAATCTGGGTCAACAAACACAGCATGTTGCAACTAAACATCAAACTTTCTTCACTACAGTATCTTCTTAACAGAAACAGGTATGCAATCATTTCCATTTCTTCTTTGAAGAACTGGAAAAGCTAGTGAGATTTGAAGACAAACAATACAAAATACAGCTTTTGAATGTTGTGACTATAGAAGTCTGAAGACAATTTTGTGGCACTTATGTTTCAATATAAGCACCACCAGTACCTTTTAATGCAGCATTTATTAATGTTGACAAACTGTTGACAGCTATTGATCAGAAATAATTTATGCAAAGAATTATTTTCTCCTCATAACTTTCTCTAAAAGCAAGTTTTTTCATGAAACGTTTTTGAATTGAAATTGAAATATGTTTGTGTGATCTGCTTGGAGGTGATGAAAGATGAAAGCTTGCAAAATGGTCAAGTTGTGGGGGTACCTTTACCCTGGGTGCCAGAGGGTTTTGTTTTGTAGCAAAGCTGTGATTATGAGTGGTGCAGCCGCAATTGAGATCCTGATCGAGATCCTTTTACCTTTGATTAATAAAGTTGATTGACTGACTGTCTGGCTACCTGGTAAGAATTTTGTTATAGTATGATAAAAGCAAAATTATAGTAATGCCATTATTAATTTACTATTGGTTCTTTCTGGAACTTTAAAAGCAATTTTGGCTGAAACAGCTTGGGCTAAAAACTGGTGAAATGTATTCATATGGAAATTTTCCAGGCTGTCTGTATTGGCTAAATAGGTTTAAAGACAACTTTCCATTTTGTATTTCTGTAGTTCAACAGTTTGAAACTGTACTGCCATGAATTTGATTAATGGGTTTTAATTTTCTTTTGTTTCTATTCAGAAGAGATCTTTTACAGATAACATGAAAATTCCATTAAACAGCCATGACACTTGATAAATCTATGGGATCCCAATCAAAAGTGATTTTTTAGGCTTTATTTTCCCAACTGATTAAGTCCTGCACATAACTGGAATGATCTCTCGTGTCTTAAATCTTTAATGTAACTAAATTTCTGTTATAAGCACTTCCCTTCCCTGACCTATAAACATTATTAGTGCCTTTTCCTAGTTTAGAGCTTTAAATCAATCAGGAACAGGTGGTACTTATTACAAATTAAAACACCTTTGCACAGGGGGAATTAATTGAGGTGCACTTTTGAGTTACATGTATTAAAAGGATATGGCACTAAAGCAAATAATTATGGTATAAACCATTTATTTAAATTTTGTGCTGGGAATATTACAAAGATAAAATAATTATGAAGACATAATGTCAGAAATCTTATTACCAAGAACAAACTAAGGATAAGGCATGCAACTGAACCCTCAATGACTCTGCAGTTGTCAATATGTCACTTACATGAACCATTGTAACGGAGCACACAAAATACTAAAAGATTTCATGTAATTAAGTTTTATAATATACTGAGCATGCTTTACAAAGTTATTTCAATTGGTTTTGGTCATACAAAAAGGTCTCACCACATACCATTCAACATAACTGAAAGAAAAATAATTATTATAGTGTCACAAATGGAACAGGCATGCTGACATATTAATAAACAATAATTATAGAGGAAATTTCTAGTTCATTATTAAATTCAGAAGTATAATTACAACATTTCTTTCAGAGTTACTTGACAGGAAGTTTAAAATCTGTCAGAGAGGTATGATTCATTACACAGTGATCCAACAATGGCATGTGGTAAATCACAAAGAAGCAGAAGTTGTGCAGTGCAGTCCATTTGCCAGTCGGCATAAAATATGAAGGTAGCTTGTTGACCATGTCATGTGCTGCCTCTAAACTAGTTCATATTTACTTGAATGTTGGAGACTGCTTGCCAAACAACAAGAAAATGCTACACCAATAAGCTGTAAATAAAAAAGAATAACTAGAATTATGACAGGAACCATAATGTGCATTATCCTATTTAACATATTCTAGTTCCATATAACAAAAATGCCAGACGTGAATCAAAGTTAATGAAATGACAATAAATTATTGTAATGATTGATAATGAGGCCCTCAGGTTCATCATTTTATTGTTATTATCATTATTGTGCAGTTCCAGAAAATAATCCATATTCCCCCCTCAGAAGGGATTAGAATTTCCTGGGGGTGGGTGGTGAGGGGTGGGTTCTGTAAAACCCCAAAATTTAAAGAAATATATGAAGCCTAATTGAAAATTCCAGAAGGGTGGGAGAGGGGGTAGACTACGAGTAGTCCCTCTTTTGCTTAGTCCGTTTTAAGTCACGTGAAAGAAAACTGCGATAAAAATTCCCATGTGAACTCCTAGGGGCGAGAAGCACGCGAAAGGAGGGACTACCACCTAAGCCAGAGAATTTAACCTTTCACGGCCAAGTGATTATTCAGCGTAAATGTTCAATATCATTACATGTATCCAATAGGGTTCCTTATCTTGACGTCCTCTCATTATTGCCTGTTGTCAAAAACCCCAGAGATGTTTTGAGTAGAATCGCTCTTCACTTCAAGTAGCAAGGCAAAAACATGCTGTGAGAAGTATATCTTCATTAGGTTGTTCGTTAAGCAAAACTGCCAAAGAAGTTTCGAAAAGAAGACAGTAAAGGAATCATCTTGTAATGAATTTTTACTGTGTCTGTAGGCTTAAATTTAAAAATTATTGTGAAATTTTCAAATCCAGAGTTCAACAGAGAATTTACATTATGTATTTGATATAGGAGATCATCCAACTGCGATGACTTGTTTGCCGATAGCAGCAGAAAGTTTCAAGTGAAAGTCTGATTCAATCTTTAAAATGGACGGCAGAAAGGCCAAGCTCAGTCAATTCATATTTACGGAATTGTTCCAGTAGTTTTTCGACAATGCTGGTGACCTGGAGTTGAGCGGCAAAACTACTAACACACTTGCATTCCGGTTCAAGGTGTAAAGCTTTGCCAAACAAAATACTTGATAAATTGACTCTTCCATAGCCTGTTGGCAGCATTGCAAGAACATCATGGCCTGTGAGACGCAATTCCAACGCTTTGATTTGCTCTGGTTGCAAAGCTTTCTATTATCAGAAAGCAAGATATCGAGTCTTGGATGTTGACAATGTGTTGTCAGTGCTCTTAGCATAAGCCACTCATGTTTTTGTGTTGTGAGAGCAATGCATAATTCAAACTCTGTGGCTTTAGGTGGTAGTCCTTCCTTTCGCGTGCATCTCGCCCCCAGGATTTCATGCAGCCAATTTTTTCTCACAGTTTTCTTTTGTGTCATGTACAACGGACAACGCAAGAGGGACTACTCATAATCTGGGGGGGGGGG